TATGTAAATAAATAAATAAATAAATAAATAAATAAATAAATAAATAAATAAATAAATAGTTTTACTGTTTTGAGGGGATTTTTTCCCAGATTATTAAATATAAGCTTGTTTATAACAGCTAACTACGTGCTCACTGGTTTTTAATGAGCTGTTCACAGTTTATAAAGCGGTTATAATGTTTCTTGTTCAGAAAATGTCGCCAAATGAATAATTAACGACGAACTGAGTGGATCAATAGYAGAAATCAGCTGAACCCGTTCACCCAGCCCTCCTCCCCTCGCCCTTCCAGCTGCGGCCGCTCTGCGCATGCGCCTYGCTCCTCCCGGAGTTTCGGCCTGTTCCGCCGCCGCTCGGTCATTTTCGCCTCTTTGTTACACTGATAGTGGATTTAACTCGGATTCAACCCAAACATCCAGCGGACCGCGCGGCTCTCCGAACAGGTTAGTTCGTCCGCTTTCTCTCCGCGGGGYTGCTCCTCTTGGAGGGGGTGGGGGAGGCCTCCGTCCCGGAAGGTTCGGTCACCGTGGCTTCGGTCCCGGTTCGCTCCGGGACACGCTGTTTAAACGGGTCTGTGTGGTGGTGGAGGTGGAGGTGGTGGTGTATGGCGGCGCCGGGCCCTGCAGTTCCACACCGGGGATGAGGGGGGGTTCAATGCGGGGGGTGAAGTGTGCCGATAAGGTGGCTCCAACGTCGGCCGGGATGCACATGGTTGGAGCGGAACCTCCTGTTGGTTCCGTCAGGTTCGAACCGAACACCAGGCAGTTCTTGTTTCCCACTGAGATGGAATGTTCTTGAAAGCTCCACCATTAGCTGCTTCCTCCTGCTGCCGTCCGAAGTTCAGCCCGACATGTGTGGAGCAGGAGCCGGGTCCGCCGGGTTCAGGTTCGGGTCCAGATGAAGACCCGGACTCGGTGTGTTTTTCCACACGTCCTCTGAGTGGATGTCGCCCGGTTTCAGTCTGCTGCTGCCCCCCACCCGGCCGTGGGGGGGATCCGGGTGACATGGTGGTGGGAGAACAACCAACAAGTTGGTGCAGATTCTTTACAGAACCTGGACCGAAACCAGGCTCCGGGTCCAAATTATCCCTCTGCTTTTATTTCACCTTCAACATCCTGCAGGTGAGCCACAGGTCCAGAACTGTCCTAACAGCTCAACTAAATAAACTTCTTTAAATTTCACCAACAGCTCAGAAAATACAAGTTACATTTATTTGAAGCTGCAAAAATGACCTTAAAATAAACATTTTTTGGAGTTTGCAAAGAAACTTTTAGCACATGTTCTACGTGAATCCTTTAGACTAATAATAATTAGTCATTTTTAAATAAATAACAAGTAATAAACATTTATTCACCCCATATCAAAAGTTTTACTGGTACTAACGAGTCATACTGGTTGTTTTTTTGGACTGTARTTTGTTGAAAACGAACACAGCCAGTTAGGTTGCTGAGAAAGTAAAATCAAGCAGTTTGTCAGTGTTATTGTACTTCACAGATAAGGAGAATCTGAAAAATAATCACTGTGTTTGATCCGTGATTAATCACACAAAGATCCTCTATTCTACAAAGATCTTCTATAAAAGGATGAGCCAACGTTTTAGACTAATAATAATCAGTCATTTTTATTCACCACATTCCAAATGTTTCACTGGTGCCAACGAGTTGTAATGGTTGTTTTTTGGACCGTAGGTAGTTGAAAACATAAACACAGCCAGTTAGGTTGCTGAGAAAGGAAAATCAAGCAGTTTTTGTCAGCATAAAAGTTTAAAATTATATCATGACAGTCTCAAACAGGAAGTAAACAACTTAATGATAGGTTTTTTTTTTATTTATGATAAATGAAAACCCTTCAAACCAGCCCATTAACCAAGACAAATATTTATTTTTTATTTACCAGGTAAGAAAATCACCTGAGCATGAAAATCAGATGTTTTAGCTGAAGGCTGTTTGTTATAGGAAGTGTCTTCCTCCCAGCATTAAAATATAACGTTCAGTTAAAAGTTTTGAGTTTCAGATTAAAATCAGTTCATGTGGTGACAGAGCTGAATGTCATTGTTTGAGATGGGAGCAACTCTCAGCTACTACCACCTGAAACTTTAGCTTTTACTGACAGAAAAGTAGCTTTTTTTATGTTTCTATTGCTCCTGATTTATGTTTGCTCCAGAATCTATTTGTTGCGTGAGATATTTTGCTAACAGAGAGAGTTGAATGATAGTTTTCTCGACTTCTATCACACTTAACTTGAAGTCATTATCTGTAAAAATTGTTGCCATTTTTGTGTGTTTTATGGCTGCGGCACCATATTGGATGAGTTCATGAGATATGTTGCTAACACACAGGCACAGGCAAACACATTTATCCACCTTTTGCCTTTTTAGCAACATTACCTTTAGATGTTTGACTTCTTAAACGTCGCAGAACCACTCTGTGGCCTCACCTTTTGTGTAATTTTGCCACCTTCACAAGAAATTTAAAATAAATCGGAGGACGTTTACCACATTTAGGCCAGCTTCCTGTCACCACCAYGACTTTCGCTGATATGAAGTTTTGCTCAGATAAACTCACCTGATGTACGTTTAGTTTCCTCAGAGAGGAAGTTTTCTACAGAGTTGGAGACGTTAGAAAAATCTTTTTTTTATTTAGCAATGAAACATCTGGGAAGTAAACAAACATTGCAGTACAGGTTTGTGTAGATTTATCACATGCTGATAAAATGCGGCTGCTTTACAAAATRAAAGGGTTTTATTTTGAGGAAAGGAGGAATTATCCTTAAAATGCACCAGGCAGGGCTTTTTAACTGTAGAAGTAAAACAAATAATTAAATTATTGTGGGTTTGAGAAATAATTACCACCCTCCTTTTCCTTTCAGCAACAGGCGAAAGTTAGCAAAATATCTCGTGACTTGGTGTATTTTATTTAAACTTTCAGGAAGTAATCATCTTCAACTTTGGGATAGAGCTGCACGATATATCTGAGCACTGATGTAGGAGACAAATTAAATCATGCTATTTAGGGACTAAAGCATAAGTCGTTGCATTAAATGTTACAGCTTTTATTTTGACGGGTGGCTTCAGGTTAAAAAGCTAAAACTTTTATTTAGTTGTGTAACTTCAGGAGCCATAATGTTTCTTGGAGAAGTGTTATTGGTCGAGCTGTGGAAGACGAGCAGAGAACTGGAGGGAAACAGGTGAAATACAGTTAGCATGAATGCTAATATTAAAGGAAACATAGGCGACAATCAGGTGGTAAAACACAATTCACGTTTGCCAGTTAGGTTGCAAACATGGCCGCCACTCAGTCGTTTTCATTGACGATGTGTGAAACTTTGGCGTATTATTAGCAGAGAATCATTCAGAACAGGAGCGTTGGTGGGTTTGATGGGTCGGTCACAGGTTGGCATCTTTATGGGCTCGACACACSGGAGGTKWCGTCGCTCTCTCCGTTYATTTCCTGTGGAAATTGTGCGAAGAGGTGACAATCACCCACCCTCCTCCAGCCAAGTGGCTGGCAAAACTCYTTCATGCGAGCTTGTGACGCGACATATGAAAGTTGAAAATTGTTCAACTATTGTCGCTGTCGCATGGCTCTACAACCAATCAGCGAGGGTTTTGTTGACTGACCAATGAGCAGAGAGTATGTTAGCTGCTTTAATTGTGAAACTTTCCAATTTTATATGACACTTCACAAAGTGATTAAAAAGGCAGCTGTGTGGCAGTTTGTTGGAGCCAGGGTAGAAGTTGTTTGGTAATTTTTTCTTCATAAAATCGTATCTTGGTGTGCGTTTATTTTTCAATATCATTAGCATCGCAAGATTTGTTTAGTTTACTCATTCGTAATAACCACCACTAAACTACAAGAACTAGAAGAACCAATCAAATTTCTTGAAGAAAAGCGACTCAAGAGCACGATTCACAACGCTGCTGTTGCTAACGCATCCCGAGTGTTGGGTTTCGCCCTGGTTGCGATGTAGAACCTCCACGATTAGTTGACTAGTCACATTTATATTTGACTATTAAAATCGTCGACTAATTTAATAGTTGATGTGTCGTTTTTTTTTTTTTTTCTAACTTTGTTTTTCTCTCCAAACTGCTGTGGCGCCTTTCACTGCCACGTCTGCCTTTCTGTCCTTGACACACATGCGCAGTAGAGTGGTAATTATGGCCGCCATAAACGGTTGTTTTTATAGTCGACTAAGCAGTGATTAGTTGACTATAAAAATAAATATACAAAGTCAGAAAAAAAAAACGACTCATCGACTATTAAATTAGTTGTTGACGATTTTGATAGTTGACGTAATCGTGGCTAGTCGACTAATCATGGCAGCCCTATTGCGATGACAGCTGTCAATTGCTCGACTCGGGTATCACAACATATGTCGCGGTACCATAAACAAAGCGATGTATCGTCATTTTAATTCTAAGTATAAAGAGCACACCATATATGCATAAAACCTGATTTAAATTCAGTTTATTTTGATGCAAACAGAAAAACACTGAGCAACAGTGAGATCTACATTCATATTTCACGTTTCTTATTACAACAGTCTTAATTAAAATCTATACAGTATCAGGAAATGAAAAATCGTGACATTTAAGTGTAATGATGTCTTTTTTTAAACCCCTAAGCAAATATTTTCTTCTAGTTTAATATGATGCGTAACCCTCCTGTTAATATTAATAAAAGCAGCTGATATGTAGGTTTTWAGCCTTACAGTCAGACATATCAGTGGTTGATTCTGGCAGCTTTGTGAGGACCAAATWCATATTTAATAGGGCTATATTTGGCCCACAGGCCGCTGCTTCACATCACCGTAGAACAAAAGGACGTGTGTTGTCAAATGTTAAAACGGCGAGCTCTTATCTTGTCTACTTTATCTTTCTTTATTGGACAGTTTCTTTCATTCCAACGGCAGAATCTGTATTTGTGGAGCCTCACGACCTCTGCTTTTTACTTTAGCTTGTAAAACAGTTGTAATTCATCTACTATAGGCTTTACTGGGGTCTCAGTCCAGACCTGAATGATGGCTCTTTGACAGCTTAATGGTTTTTGGCTCGTACCTTAATATTAGCTCTCTGCTTGTTTTGTTGGAAAAGTCCAAATTACCTGCAGCTTTTGTTTCTGTTTCACCTGAAATTTCATCTAAATTAYTTTTATTTTTAATCTCGCAGTCAGATTTCTGTGGGTTTAATCGGTGTTTAATGAAGACAAATGACCAAATAAACATTTTCCTTCCTCCAGTACGCACGTCTTTGTTAAAACAATGTGAGCGGTCCCGGTGGGCAGCCTGATAAAAACGGTCGGGCCTGTATGACAGCCCGAGCAGGAGGCAGCCTCTCAAGGCTCGGAGCAGCTTGATAATGAGAAAACTCAATAGAAGCCGAAGCGCCCGAAGATGCATTCGTCTTTGTCTTGGACAGGAAATAAAATCAGGCAGCTTCCTGAAC